AGGCATGCAGGAGGCAACCAATCAATGATTCTCATCATTGATGTTTCTCTCTCTCCCTCTCCCTTCCTCTCTGAAATCAATAAAAATATATTTAAAAAAAACAACAACACACAAATATCTGGCAGTGGGAGAGAAACTTCCTGTTTACAGCGTGATCACACACACCTCAGTGTCCACCCTCAGCGTCCCACAGCCCCATGCGCGGCCTCCGCTGACCCGGGCAGCACTCCAGGTTATCATGTGCCCATGTGTCCCCTCAACTAGACCGGGGGCATGGCTTTCAATATCTCCATCCCTGAGCAGTAAGTGTTGGTTAAATGCAGTTGCAGAGGAGATAGGTGCCAAAGGGGAAAATGACAGGCGGAGGAGTGAACTCCCTGTCATTCAGATTTCACCTCTCAGTAGCTGGGCGACCATGGGCAGGTTCCTTCACCTCTCTGTGCCGTGGTTGCCTTGGTTGTAAAACAAGGTTCAGGATTGCCACCCCCTCAAATGCTCGGTGTGAGGGTGATGTGAGCTCATCTACCCGAATGTGCTTAGAAGGGTGTCTGACTCATAGTAAGTCCTGGGTTAGCATCGTTGCTGTTTTTGTTAGTAAAGGCACTAAGAGACCCACCACTGAAAGGATGTGAGGGCAGAAATGCGCAATCACAGCAAGAAGGGCCCGCGCGCACACAGAACAGGGCGTGAGGAGGAGGGCGATGGAGACAGAAAAGTTTCCCCATAGACCGCAGCCGGGAAACTTCAAAGCAGGTAAACATCGGAGGGTGACATTTAACTTGTTACAGCACAGGCGGGAACATCGCCGTTGTAGGCTCGGCAGGCTCAGGCAGGCTCAGGCAGGAAATGGGGTCAGCCGGGGCTGAAGGGTTGGCTGACACAGGTGACTTAAGGAGTCCCACGGTGCCAGGTCGAGGCTGATGTTTTGAAGGGGACTGGAGGGTGTGGGTGGGAGAGAAAGACAGGTGCACCTGGGCAATCTGAGATACACCAGCTATTACCTGGCTCCTTCTGCAGGCAACTCCTTCTGACTGCTTTATTTTGCACTGAAGTTTCTGTAATTCAAAAGATATGTTGCAGCAGCACCGTGCTAAGATTTCAAAGATATAGAGGAGGTTTGAAGCCATATAGGGAAAACCCCATCCATGATAAGACTAAGAGGGAGATAATGCCATGAATTTCAGCTCAGCCATTCAAGGGTTAGGTTTATTTCTTGTGACAATGGAATCCAGACCACTCTGCTGACTCCAAAACCAGGTGTCTACTTTGTGGGTTACCTGAACCCTGCTGGCTCTTTCTCCATTCACCTGCTCCTCTGAGAAGGTGATCGAGGCGTGGAAAACACGGAGAGATGCCAATTATTCAAATCTAATAATAACAAAGGAAGCACTTTGAGCCTGCCCTCCGAGGAGCTTGGGTGACGCAGGCCATGGCTCAGGGGAACTCCAGGATCCCTGCTGTTGCTGAGACTCTAGGATTCAAATCCTGCCCTCTACCTGGGGATGGTGCTGTGGGTCCCCCCTCAGGAAAGTGGGCACCAGGTGTGTGCTTGGATTCCTTTGAGACCAGTCTGATCCTTTGTGAGGTGTGTGATCAGAGTTGGAAGAACAGCCCATGATTAAAGAATGTTACATCAGTTCGCTCCTGCCCCAGGCCAATGCCTACAATTCTGTAGTCAGGTCATCAGCCCTTGTCTGAAGGCCTCGACTACCATGACAGTCTTCCATTACATATGTTCATCTTGTATAATTGCAAGTTACCTTAGAAATCGAGGGATCTGAGGACAGGGGCCCAGAATCTGGTGGGGGTGAGGCAGGGACAGGGAGCAGTGGACACCTTGCAGGGGAGTGGAAGGGAAGCCAGAGTGGCCAAAGTACCTCACCCCTCTCCTACGTTTAAATTCCCCCTAGCTCTCTACTGCCCTGAGAATGAAATCCACGGGGCCTTATTATTAAGAGTGTCACCCCCAAAGCCTATACGTTCAGGGGTCGTTTCTATGGTTTGTTACTAGAGAAGTTTCTCTGTGTAGAGCCCCTGAAACCACGAAGAGGAGGTGCAGCATTCTCTCCTGAGTGTGAAGCTGGCTTTTGGTGTTCCTTTGGCAACTACCACAACCATTGATGATCATTCTTCTCTTCCTTTGGGAGAATAAGAGGGAGAGGATGCAGTGGTTTCTGTTTAAAAAAAAAAAGTCATCTCCAGCCATAGCTGGTTTTTGCTCAATGGTTAGAGAACCAGCCCTTAGACCAGGGGTGGGCAAACTTTTTGACTCAAGGGCCACAATGGGTTCTTAAACTGGACCGGAGGGCCGGAACAAAAGCATGGATGGAGTGTTTGTGTGAACTAATATACATTCAAAGTAAACATCATTACATAAAAGGGTACGATCTTGTTTTTCAATAGTTCTATTCATTTCAAACGGGCCGGATCTGGCCCGCAGGACGTGGTTTGCCCACGGTTGCCTTAGACAAAAGGGTCTCAGGTTCGATTCAGGTCAAGGGCATGTACCTCTGTCCAGGCCCTGGTCAGGAGGCCACCAATCAGTGTGTCTCTCTCACATCAATGTTTCTCTCTCTGTCTCTCCCCCTCCCTTCCACTCTAAAAATCAATGGAAAAAATATCCGCAGGTGAGGATTAACAACAACAAAAAGAATGCCACCTCCAAATGCAAAAGACACAAGATGTGGCAGGAGCATGAGTTGCTGGGGGGCGGGGGGGAAGCGGGGGGCAGAACTGCTTTTTCAACCTTGAAGTTCTCTAAACTATTGATCACTTCTCATAGCTCCTATCAGCTTAAATCTAAACACTTGTTACAGGCAACAGAGTGTGAGCTAAGAAAACCACCCAGGGCAGACATGCTCTGAAATGTGAGAGCAAACTTTCATTCTTGTATGATTGCAATGTGAACTTATTCAGGACAGCTGTACCTGGTTCAGGCTCATAAAAGCAGCCCGCAAATTGATTTGCCATCTGTGATGGGAAATCACCAGGGGAAAAGCAGGCACCAAAAGAACAAATAAACACGCTATCAGTGGAATAGTCTGACCTCCCCCCTCCCCCCCACTCCGTGCTGGAGGCATTGACCCTCTGACCCTCCTCTAGCTTGGTGAGATGGAAGGAAATGTGCGACAATTACCAAAAGCACTGAGAGTGAGGAAAAGTCGTTCCTTCCTTTAAAATAATAAATCTTTCTCATTTAATGAAGGGAAAAAAAAACAAGGACCCACCAAGAGCACTCGTCCTTATTTCAGTCATTATTACAAACTGGAGTTTCTTCATGTCATTGGTTTTACTTGCCATGTGGCCATGGGTTTCTCTTCCCCATCGCACCCCAGATATCAGCATAGCTTACCTGTCCCCACTCTCAGGTCTTCACTGAAGCGTCATCTTCTCTGATACCTCCTCTCTCAATCTCTATCTAAAATCCTACGAAATCTCTCTCTCTACAACCAAGACCTCTACCTAAAGTTCCCTCACCACTACGTGTTCACCTTTCGCTTTTTAGCTTCTTAGCATTTATTGTTATTTCTCATACTGTGTGTTTTATTTATTTTGTCTCCTCTGCTAAATTGTAAATTCCACAAGAGTAGGGATCTTTGTCTTTTATTGTTTGTTTTATCCTCTGTCTCCAAACAAGCATAGTGCCTAGCACATAGTTGGCTCTCAATGTGTATTGGTTGCACAGATGAAAGAAGAAATGAATCTATTTCTTCAATAACTACCAAGAGGTGCGACTAGAGAGTCATGGACAAAAATATCACTTACTCAGCCTCTGTTTTCTACCAAGGACTGGCTAAGTGCTTTCCATATCTAAGGCAGAAAACCCCGAATGCTATTTGAAAAGATGGTTGCAAATTGTCCCCCTGGCTCTGGGAGAGGGGGCAGAATTCCCTCTGGGGATCAAGCTGTCTGCTGCAGAGGAATTCAATGGCACTTTGCAAAAATGAGGGGCCATTGGCAGAAGTCGCTCTTCATAAATGAACTAAAATGATGAAGGTAGCATCCTTGGACAGCGTGATTGGTCATTTTTGTGAAGGGATTGCCAGTGTTCCCTCTGAATGTGTGAGCTCGGTTCAGGAAGAGTTCTGGACTTGAGAGTGAAAGCACATTTGAGAAGGAACTCCATTCGGAGGGAAGAGAACCCAGAACCGGGGCTGCCGGCTGGTGCCTGCGGAGAGAGGCCACCAGGGTGGGGCTTCTAACGGGCATCCCTGACAGGCCCACAGTGATGCTTGAGACTGTTTTAAAGTTGCCCCAATAACCTTCAGCAAATCTGTTGCACGAGACTATTGGGAGAGCACACCCTTGTACAGCTGCACTCGGTGTTAGAATATTTATTTCTGCTAAAGAGCCTCTTCCCCCATCCCTACCTCAATGGCCTAGCCCCAGCCCCCAGTCCCCCAACCTCCCCAGATCCAGATACCTTTAGGACTGATTGGCCATTGCCTGGGTCCTGGGGGCTAATTCCAGCAGGTCATAAATGCAAGTTCCTCAAAAGGTTGGTGGACCTTGCAGGCTTCAGCAGGGCTGAAGATACATATTATTGCCTACTGGGATAGCTGAAAGCATTTCCCCAAACCTGAAAAGCTACATGTGGTGACCCCCAATTTCATTGCTACAAATTGAACGTAATTAAAGGATAGTGATTAATCACTAAAACAATATGTAATTATATATGTGTTTTCCGATGGTCTTAGGCGACCCCTGTGAAAGGGTCATTCGACCCCCCAAAGGGGTCGTGACCCACAGGTTGAGAGCCACTGCTTTAGGGCAATTTGTGTTAATAAAAAGATAGGGGTTCAGAGAGTCAGGGAACTTGGTTACTGAAGCTAGTTCTCCTCTGGCTCCCAAAAATGCCTTTCAATTTTATATTTCATGCTTATCTCTTTATTAATTTACTCGCAGACCTTCTGCCGATTCCTGAACCCTTTTAGATGCTGAGAAACACCCCGGCACCTGGGCCACTGCAGTTGTTAAATATTTTGACTCTCACCCCTGCCGCCACACACACCAGCTCAGTTAGGGATTTAAGTGGGGAGAATAGAGGAAGGGCCAGTGTTCACACTGGGGTTGGAACAGAGCAGAGGGAGGAGTAGAATGAGAAAGAGTGAGGAGACAGCTATAGGCAGAACCGGGGAAGGTGCCACGGGGTGGGAGGCTGGGGGTACATGAGAAGCAACACTTAGGGCATGTAAGTGCTTGGCAACCTCTTTAGAAATATCTGGAGGGAACTGGTTTTCTCAGTCACTCAGAGCGAGGATGCAGGCTATTACATTTGGGTATTAAAAGAAAATGAGTTGACAAAGGACCAGGAAACGCGGGGATACTGAGAATACAAACCAGGCAGTGAGAACAGCCCTTCCCATGCTAATTCCGCTCGTTTCCATTTGATATCAGAGCATGGTTTGTGTCAGCAGAGAACAGGCTGAAAGAGAGCAGTACAATTCCCCTTGTGTTTCATCAGATGTTCTGCTGTGCAGGGGGGCGGGGGCACGCCTGGCGCTGGCTCCACGTGCCAGTTTCAAATCTGACACATTCCACAGGCGTGAGCCTGCGGGGCCGGAACACGGGCACCCGCTGTGTTTATTACGCTCTCTGCTCAGCTCCCGCAGTCTTTTCTTTTCACTTCATATCAGGGAAGTTAATGGGAAGCTCTGAGGCGGAAATACAAGCAATCATCTTCAAGAGGCCGAGCAAACACGGGTGGGGGTGGGAGGTACTATGCTGCCATCTCCATCACTCCACACCTCCCGTCTTGTTGCCCAGAGTTCTCTCTTCCCCGTTGTTCTTCCATTCAGATCTGTCCTTTTCTTCTCATGCTCACGTCCCTACTTTATGGATAAGCTCGCATCCCACTCACAGACCGCAGGGCCGCCCACGCCAGGCACTGAGGGGAGGCTGCAGGCTCAGAGGCTGATGAATGGTCTCCATCTCACTGCAGAAAAGCCAGCACAGGCCTGGGAAGCAGAGAGCAAAAATGGGTGATTCACCCAGACAGCTGGGACTCAAGAGAGGGAACTTCCACAACGCCTGGGAGGAAAAAGCGGGGGGGTCCCTTTGGTGGTTCCCTTGCCCTACAGCAGTGGTTCTCAACCTTCCTCACGCCGCGGCCCTTTAATACAGTTCCTCATGTTGTGGTGACCCCCAATTTCATTGTTACAAATTGAACATAATTAAAGCATAGCGATTAATCACAAAAACAATATGTAATTATATATGTGTTTTCCGATGGTCTTAGGCGACCCCTGTGAAAGGGCCGTTCGACCCCCAAACGGGTCTCGACCCACAGTGTTGAGAACCGCTGCCCTACAGGATGGTGGACACTTGGAGGAAAACATCTCATTTGAGACGGAGCAGGTGTGTCTGTGTGCCTTGCAATACTCATTCAGGACGTTCCAGAGCCCACGTCTTCTCCGCTGCTTCTTGGACCTTCATGCCTACAACTCTCCCCTCACCCCACTCTGCTCGCCGACCTCCCTGTGGGTCCTGGGACCCGCCTGGCCCTCTCCACCTCCGAGCTCTGCACCTCTGTTCTCTGTCGGGGACACCGTAAATATCTATGTGACACCCTCCCTCCTTTTCCTCAGGTCCCCACTCAAACGTCACCTTCGCAGCGAGCCTCCGTGATGACTGTACAAAAGATTAACATACATCTCCAGTCACTCTCTCCAGCCTTCCCCAGCCCTGTTTTTCTTTCTAGCATTTTCCCCACCAGATCCATCTGACATTTGCTTAGTTTCCGTCTCTCCCCATCCGTGTGTAAGCTCTAGATAGGAAGCGTGTGTCTGTCTTGTTTGCATCAGAGTCTTCAATACCCAGAAGAGAATTGCCACAAAGCAGCTCAATACATACTCTTGAGTAAATGACTGAATGGTCCCCCAACTCATTCACCACAAAATATTGGATTACTACACCCATATCTTGCAAAAATCACTGAAAACCTGTCTGAGTTCCTAAGAAGTGGAAGCTAACTGATGCACCGTCATAAATGTTGTCATATTCCCAGCCTCGGGGGTGGGGGAGGTGGGGGTTGGCAGGTGGGGCTGTAGTAGACCTTGTTAGCTTCATCCTAGGTAAAAGTAAATCTGCATTAGCCTTTCCAGCCCCTCCCTCTCCTGCCCCCCGCCCCCCAGCCCCAGCCAGGGAACAGGAGTGCCCAGGCTGGAAACTGCTGCTTTATACCTTCAGTCAACACTTCTCACTGAAGGAAGACCCATCCACAGACAGTGAATACACCTGTCAACACCCCATTCAGACTGCACAAGAGCTGGACTAGAGAATATCCCATGTGACCACTCCATAGCTAACAACTATTTCTCAGGCACCTACTAAGATGCTGGCAAGACAGCAATCAGCAACAGAACGTGGAGCTCATGCTGTAGACCGTGGGGTAAGTGCTTACTGATTTGTATTGAAAGTGACCTTGAAACGTAGACTCTCCAAAGACATGAGTCCATGTTAACAATTTTCATTCCCAAAGTTCTGGAGATGGATATTGGTGGTGGTTGCACGATGCTGTGAATATTCTCTCATGCTACTAAGCGGACACTTAAAACGGTAAATTTTGTGTTTATTTTTCATTCTCTTTCCAGGGATATGCCCTCCCTACTGATGAATTTTGCAGAATACCAACCTGCACTTCTTTTACTACATTTTTTTTTTTTTTGGCTAGGTAGAAAAGGGCCTTTTGCAAAGGGTACTGGGTAGCTCACGGAATTATCAGGAGAAACAGGGTTGGATAGTATGTTGAAGAACAGCACTCATAGCCATCCTGCAGAACTGCTCTGTCACCATGGTCACCAGGCACTGGGATGCTACAATTTGCAATGCTGCTACTTAAACCAGGAGCTTACTTTACTGCAACTGCCACTACCTTCAGTAGCACCAAGACCAGTGACCTTTCAGTCACTGCCACTTTCCCAAATTTCCTCTCCACCTTCACTGGAAAATAGATTTTGAATGGCAGCACTAGCTTCTTACATTGACCTCTTTCAGAGAGAGGGCTCCTGTGGGAGTGAATGGTGTCTGATTCGTGGAGCCCAGCTCACGTGCCTGTGCTTTAGCTGCAAGAGATCCTGGGAAAATGTTTGCAGTGGTCTACCTTGGGTTCACAAAGCAGGACTTTCTCCAAAGACAGGAAGAGTTTTCAGTAGGTGCTGTGCAGCCAGGAAATGTGACAAATGAACACCCTTACACAAAGGCTCTCATCAATTTTCTTTCTACCCACATTTTTACATCTCCAGCTTTACTCGCTGCTGCTTCAGACCCCTGTAGAGCGGACACTGGAACAGTTGAGAGCTTCCCCCAAATTTCTCTGTGTGCAGTTGCACTGGGGATTTTGAGTTCACTGACCAATTTACTGATGGACTAACCAATAGACCACCTAGCAGAGTGGTTCCCCATCTTCTTACTGGTAGACATGTTACCAATGACACCCAGCATCTCCAAAGGGTGGCAATACAGTAGCACTAATCACATGCCAGGCACTGTGCTAAGTGCTCTACACACATGAGCACATTGAATCCTCCCCACGACCCTCTGAGATAGGGACTTTTATTATTCCCCATTCTACAAATATGGAAACTGAGTCAAGAAGGTAGTCAGCCAGTGATCCCACTTCTATAAATATATCCCAAGAAAACAGAAACACCAATCAGAAAGGATACATGCACCCCTATGTTCATAACAGCACAATTTACCATAGCTAAGATTTGGAAACAGCCTAAATGCCCATCAGCAGATGAATGGATTAGAAAACTGTGGTACATCTACACAATGGAATACTATGCTGCTGTAAAAAAGAAGGAATTCTTACCATTTGCAACAGCATGGATGGAACTGGAGAGCATTATGCTAAGTGAAATAAGCTAGTTGATGAAAGAAAAATGCCACATGATCTCACTCATTTATGGATAATTAAGACCATTATAAACTGATGAACAAAAATAGATACAGAGGCAGAGCAGCATTGAACAGACTGTCAAACTACAGTGGGAAGTCTGGGAAGGGTTGGGGCGGGGGTAAGAGATCAACCGAAGGACTTGTATGCATGCATATAAGCATAACCAATGGACATAAGACACTGGGGGGCAGTTGCCCAGTCACACAGCTAGGGACACGAGGAGCCAGGAGTAAAACCCAGGTGGCATGGCTCCGGTGCATGTGCCCATCACCGCCTACGTCACAGCATAGCTGGCAAACGCCAAGGATTTTGTGTAAGTCCCAGAGCGTTAGCTATAGCTGACTTCCTGTACTATCCAGAGAGCAGCTCCAAGTCTATTCTAATTTCATGTTTTCTTTAAAGACATAAATCAGTGGGAAATGTTTACTCTTAGATCAGTAAAAAAAAACCAACATTGATGATGACAGAACAGAGGACACTGATTCACAGAAGCTGGGGAAAGATGGCTACTTCTGATAGGTTGGTGCCAGTCAACTCCACGTGGGTTTGAGGGCACTGCCAGAGGGAATGAGAGCTTCTGATAATTGTAACTATTATTTCCATAAGGCTGGGTGCTGATCTAAGCTCTTTACACATGTTAACACCCCCACCTACTTAAAGGCCCTTTTCCCCAGGAGGACCCTAGTCCAAACCTATGCCCCTGAGCGTGCCTGCAGGGCAGCCTGAAGGGCCCAGGCAGGAAAGGTACTAGTATGTCTATCCCGTTTCTTGGACCTGTCAGCCCAGCCCTGCCTCCTTAGAAGTCAATTCCAGAGTGAACAGTTTCAAGTACCTGTTGGTGAGCTAAGGTGGCCGGCAAGAGGGAGAGAATGCCACTACCCCAGCCTGAAGCAATCTGCCCACTCCCCTCCCCACCCAGGAGCGTGCTCTGATCGATGCTAGGCTGCTCTGAACAGCCACCCGCATCGGCTCTGTCCTCTGCGCATTCATCAAAGAACACCAAGTCCCGGAGGCGAAGCTGACAGACGTGCCTTATTCTGACCTGACAGCTTTCATGTCTGTGTCAACCAGTCTCCCCCTATTCAGAGATCATCATGGCTCCTGCCTTCCTTCTAATAACACAGTAAACACCCATCGCTGACTCAAGGCAGATATTGGTTGCTGCCTAAACTGCACCTTACGCAGGTTCCCTTGTGATCCCTGAGTCACCACCCACCATCCTCACCAAGCCCTAAGCCGGCACAGCACGGGCGGGCGTGCTCCACCTTCCCAGGCCCCCACCCC